CCACCTAGAACCCTAGAATAGACCAGGTGAGCCACAATTTGTACCACTTGACTTTTTGGCACTGCTGCAGTGATGCTGGCTGAAGTATATTCCAGAAAACTGGGCAGGGGAAGAGAAACCCTGCATGTCCACAAACTGGAAATCAGGGTTCAATAAGCACACCATTGGCTTAGTGAGTAGCTTGGAAAGCACCTTGAGATCCTTGACAACACCAGGTATCAGTGATCACATAATTTAACAAAAACAACAACAAATGGTCTGGTAGCAGTTTTTTAGACTAAGAAACCATGTAGATGGGATCAGTGTTTGAGGGTATGAGATCTGTTTGGCAGGGAGCTTTGTTGACTGCAACTCTTCTGATGAAGACTGTGATAAGAAAGCAAACCAGAAACATGACACTGACCTGAATTCCAGATTGTGCTCTGAACGTATTCGCTGGATTTCATACTGGCCCAGGGTTGCCTTGTCTTATTCTGCTCCGTTGCTTATCAGCAGTCTGGCTGTATTTCCAAAGAACACAGATCAGCTCTTTAAACTGCTAACCACTTGGGCCTGCACCACGAAGACAGCAATGGGAGAAGTCCCATTACTTACCCATGGCACTGCTTCTGCACCCCTCGCCATGGGATGCTCAGGCCTTCAGTAGCATCCTTACAGCTTTGTCCTCCGTGGCTGAACTTGGATAAAGGACCAGTGTCCCCAACGGTGAGCGTGTGGTGTTTGCACACCAGATACACCGTAAGGACCTGACCCTGTGGCTTTTACTCAGGCAAAAATCCATGGAAGTCATTTGGGGCCTGGTGTTAAAGGTATTTAGGCACCAAAAGATTCAGGTAAGTGCCGAGTGGAAATTTCGAAAGCATCTAGGCACTGAACTCCCAGTGACTTCAGTCCTGCTTCTTGCACAGATGTTGACTCCCCGCTAGCTCAGAAATGGTTCCAGACTTGCTCCGGACTCTGATCCAAAGTCCTGGCTGAGTCCCAGCAGGTCTGGGCAGGAGTCTGGGATCCCTGGGGGAGGGTGCTGCTTCGGGAGTAGCACAAAGAGAATTTTTAAGCTGGAGGCTTGTTATGGCCCCACTGCAGCTGAGGGGGCAGAAACAGCTCCCCGGGCCTCTCTGGATCCCCACTGGTAAGAGGCCTGCTCGGGTGGAGCAGCTGGCAGCAGTGGGATCTGCACAGACACTTCTTGTTCTCTGGAGTAAGCGCCATGGAGCTGGGCTTTGGTGGGTCAGGCCACTGCTCTCCAATCATCACAAGGGCAACGGAGCCCCAGGGCCAGAACCCCGTCCCGTCCTGTCCCCGAACCCCGTCCCGTCCTGTCCCCGAATCCCGTCCCGTCCTGTCCCAGAACCCCATCCCGTCCTGTCCCCGAATCCCGTCCCGTCCTGTCCCAGAACCCCATCCCGTCCTGTCCCCGAATCCCGTCCCGTCCCGGGGATTCTTGCCCTCGCAATCATTGGAGAGCAATGCCTGACCCTCCAAATATCCAGCCCAGTGGTGGCTACTCGCGACTAAGCTGTCTGAGCAGAGGCAGCACGAGGTCAGGGAACCATTTACGCTTACTGAATCCTTCCGCGGGAGGCGAGAGTGGTGCTTGTGCTGCCTCGCAATGGGGCTGCCTTTGCCATGTGGCTCTGGCAGGGTCAGTGCCCTGAGCCCCAGCCTGATGGACTGGGACAAGCAGCCTCTCGAGCTGCGCCCCACGTCTGGCTGCCAAATAGCTCCAAGCAGAGCCTCTAATTGCCAAAAGGAGCAAATACCCATAAGGCACCTTGGTATTTGGGGTTTGTTAAGTACAGCAGGGGTGCAATCACATGAGCAACGCAGCAGCTGCTGTTTGAACGCCCTGAAGACATAGAAGCAGAGAGAGGGAGAGACTGGAGGAGGACTAGGGTAATGCAGCTCCCACTTGAATGAAGGTCAACGCAGGAGACTTTCGATGTCTCTGTTATTTGCTGCCATTTCCTTGGGAATTTGTGATTGGTTGTTCTTGATTAACAGCTCACTGTCTTGGGCTTGACTGGACCTAGAGCAGGGGAAGTGGCCATTACAAAGATCAGCATCACTGGAAACGCACACGGGTGTCTTTTCGTCTTTTATTAGCTCATGAGATCCAAGGCACCATTTTGTCCAGGACAATTTAAAATCTGCTGGTGGGGGGGAATGTGCCCCCTGGTGCCGCAGCCAGAATGAGAACTGTGGCCTACTTACGACATCCCAAGAGGTGCTTGTGCCTCTCACAGGCCTGAATTTCACCTCTGAATTTTTCATTCAAAAACCAGCCTCAGCTGAACAGTCCTGGCCTGAGCCAGACCTGCAGGCGCGACAGCAGCAAGCCCGGGCTCTAGTGTCTGGAGCCAGCCCTGGCCTAGGATGGAAGGAGCTGGTCCCTGGGCAGTGGTGCTGCTCAGCTGATCACCGCTCCGACTGACCCAGACACCCAGCTGGGTGGGGATTTCTTCGGGCGGGGGAGGAAACTGGAGGCCCAACAGGGTCCAAGGCAGCCATCCAAGAAACCAGGCTGTTGTGTGGGATGCTCCCAGTGCTGCTACGTGTGAGCACCCCCGGAGTCTAAACACCCTGGCCGAGAGCTACCAAGTGGCCAGAGATCACTGGGTGTCCAATGGGAGTCACCGGAAAGGGACCTGATTTCCAGAGATGGGGCTCAGCTCTTTCTGCCAATGAGATCAATAAAAATGGCCAATAAAAATCCACCATGTTTTATTTTTAAAAAATCTTATGATTTGTAGACCATTCTCATAACTTTGTGATTTTTGGGTTGGCAATGCTGCTCTTTGATTGGTGAATTTAGAGAGGTCTGTCCCTTCAGTTTCCCTTTCCACCCTCCTTTTTTGTCATGGGTCATCAGAGAATCATAGAGAGAATGGAGAGTAGGGTGAGTCCATGACTCTGGTTAATGACTGGTCAGGGTGACTAACTGTTATCAGCCAGTGGTCTGAATGAGCTATCTACTGCCATCTGTTAATCAACTGTAGGAAAAGGCTTCTCGAGCAGACCTTATTTATATAGACATACCTACTTTGCCACAGAGATCAGTAGACACACTTGCTGTGTCAAGGTGCTCAATTTTGGCTCTTTTGGGTTGAAATTCACTTAAGACTTGGAGCTGGGAGAATGAAATGTTGTAATCCATATCGTATGATTAAAAGGCTAAAGACCTGAACTTAATATGACCTGGCTTAGAGTCTACCATAACTTGAACACTAAGCAGAGGATAGTGAGTCACATCTAACTGAAAGTCACAGAAGATGGAAACAGGTTTTATTTCTGGTGGTGTAGAGTTTATTTGGGAGTCCTCAATTATAACTGACATTTTACATCCAGTGTTTAAAGGCAGAGCTGACTAGATTGAATTGAGAGTCCTTGTCTTGTCTCAGTGATCACTTGAGCAAAAATCATTGATAAAATCTTGTGTAGACTGACCTTGGACTCAACATGCAGGCAATGTTTTGAAGAGCAGTGCAAAGGAGGCAGTGGTGGTGAGGTACCATATTCCCTAGTGAAATCATTAGTGCTGAAATCACTAAGGACTGGAATTGGACCACAGAACTGACACTTTCTTAACAAAGACTCCATTTTTGCTATTTAAAAAGTAAATCAATGTAACAGAAAACTGCAACGCTCTCTGGTAACTTTTTAAAAATCAAACTTAAAACTTTATTAAAAAAATTGGATAGTTTGCAATTGAAAATATTTGACCTACACTTAAGGCAACTGATTTAATTTTGTGTAACATTTTGCATAATAAAGGATGGCATTTTTTAAAAAATGTTCAACTATATTGATATACATTTTGATCAGATCTACTTCTGATGTGATATTTGTGTGTGGTTGTGGTTTGATGTATGTGTGTGATTTTTTTTTCTCAACAAAAAATGCCCTGACCGGAGCGGTCGACAAAGGCTTCCCTTGTCAACTGCTGTGTGTCCAGACTTCACCGCTATGCTGCCGAAAAGCTGATCGGCACAGCGCGGCGGCCATTTTGATGTAAATGAAGCGGTGATTATTTAAAGCCGTGTTCATTTTCCTATGTCTAGTAAACTCATCTACATGGCTCCGTCGATGGAGCCACGTAGTCTAGACATACCCATGAAGTAGATTTGGGCAAATGAAAATGTACCCCGGGGCAGAAAATGTTTGATGGCAGATATACCTGGGGCATCATTTTGCAGAAGGGTGTGAGAATTCCTCTTGCCCCCTGGTGTAAAATGGGATAATGTTGCTGTGTCTTGGGAGGGGAGTTAGGGTGCACAGCAGGGGCATGGCTACACTGGGAAATTATGTCAAAATAACTTATTTTGAAATAATAACGCCCAAAATAACTATTTTGAACTAGCATGTCCTCACAATAGGGAAGCCTTGACATTAATCCAAGACAGGCTCTCCTAATGTGGATGCGCTACCTTGACTTAGAGCCCCAGGAAGTGCTGGGGAGTAATTACTCTGAATGACGTTGGGGAGTTGTTATTTCGAACTAGCAGCGGAGGAGCATCCACAATACTGCTATTTTGAAAGAACTATTTTGAAATAAGCGTTATTCCTCTTGGGAAGCAAGAAAGGGGTTATTATTTCGAAATAACGGGTTTGGTTATGTGGATGCTCCACTTGTTATTTTGAAATAACTCCCTAGTGTAGACCAGGGCTATGAGGCTTAGCAAGTTCTCTCCATATTTAAGTTGTGTCCAGTCAAATATGAACAATAATGTGGTTCCACCATGTGAATAGCCTGTATGAAGTGATAGATTTTATTAAAACTGTATCCAGCATTTTTACAAGGAACATTTCACTGAATTGAAAACATCTCTTTGCTCTTAACAAGTCACTGTCAATTTAGTAAAAACTAAACACATAGTGGCAAATTCTACCCTAAAGCTCTAAAGATCTCATTGCTGCACGTTAATTAAACCCGGGTTTCTAAATCTTGGCAATCTGAAAGAGGTTTCCAATGCTTGGGCTGATCATTCTCATGTTAGCCAGCTGGAATGACTCTGCAAGTTAATTTATTTTAGACACTTATGCTGTGCTCATTACCGTGGATGGCGCGAGTCTTACCAACATAGAGTGTCCGTTGGTTGCACTGCTTCACTGATCCCTCCTGGGCTTAAGGAAGATAAAACAATAACGTCCCCAAATCACAAACTTGTGGGATCTGTACAGGCACAACTTACGAACTGGTCCCATGGGAGCTGTGGGGAGGGGCCCAGGGCTGGCAGGTTTCCCAGGATTCCCTTTACCCTTCTGAAGGAAGGACCCAAAGCCCAGCTAGCCGGGGGAGCCAGGCTGTTACACCTGCCCTGGAGACACAACCAGGCTTCTGCTCTTCCGGTATCGCATGAACCTGTTGATCTGGATTTTGATGTTACTATAGTCTCTGCGTGACAGCTTTGGCTTCCACCGCTTTGCCGCTTTGAACGCTGCATTCACCAGGTTGGGCGAGAGGGCGGCTTTCTGGTGCGTGCCGGACACATTGGCCTTCCCCCGCCACCGCTGGAAATAGTCCTGCAGCACCGTGCGTCTGAACACCGCCAGGGCGTACTTGGCAATGTCGCCCTTGGCCTCCTCAAAGAGTCTCCTGTCCTCCTGGGGGGAGATGTGCAGGAGGGAGCTGTCGGGGATGCTGGCTGCGGAAGGAGAGGGAGGGGGCAGGGAGTTCCCTGTAGGGGCAGACGGATCCTCCCCTGACTCCACAGCCTCTGGGGGTCCAGCTAGCAGGTCGGTTCCAGTTCTCCCACAGTCCATGGGGCCTGCTTCACTCAGGTCTGCCAGAGGGGTCTGGACCTTCTCCACACAGGGAACCAGGACAGTGCCTGAGGAGTGCTCAGCCACATCTGGGCACGGGGCTTGCTCGAGAGCAGCCAGTCTGGTCTCCATCACAGAAACCGTCTTTGTCAAGTGCTCCACATGCTGACGTAGACTCTGATTGTCTCTCCTTACGTGCCACAGCTCCTGGGTCAGTAACCAGATGGCCATGTTTCCGGATGGCAGGCCCGGTCTGAAGAGGATGCCTGCAGGTGACGTCTTTCCTGGTGGGTGTGAGTCTTTCATATTGGCTACGCTCTCTTCCACGATCCTTTGCAACTGAAACACATGCAACGCGCATCGGATCAGTGTGCCACTTGCATGAAGCCCCGTGGGCCACCCCGCCCGGCGCTCGTCATGTGCGTGTTCCCAACAGGGCTGAGCCAGGCCCCTCGCCTGCAGGCACTTACACCCACACTTCCGGGTGGTCCTGTTGCAAACGCCTGCAGGACTAAGGGGCAGGCTCCTGTTGCCTTGCTGACCTGGCGCCTCGCTCTTTGTGCAGCGTCGTTAGCTAGTGAGGTCAGCACCAGCACTGCCGGGTACACAAGTGCAACTACATGTGGCCTGCACTCCCCAGAGCTCCAGGGTCTTACCCAAAGCTCAGCTACAGGGGCAGCAGGACAATGCTCCGTCTGACCGGCAGCTAACGGCACCCACCACTGGCCTGGTTTCACCACAGGGGTGTGTAGCGCAGCAGAGAAAGCTGGTAAGCAGGGCACGATCATCTACAAGGGCTGGGTAAGGAGAAGAATGGCTCCTCAGCCCTGCTCCAGCCCCCAGCATGGCAATGGCAGCCCCTCTGCGTGTCACAGGGCCAGGGACAAAGGGTGCCGGGGCCCCGGGTCAGACAAGACCCTGCTCTCCTGTCCCAGAGCTCTCCAGCAGCTAGTGGGCCCCCTTTCCACTGGGGTGAGTTTGTGCTGGAACAAAATTTCTGAACAGGGACATTTTAGTTACTGTTGGATTAAAGATCAGATTGTAAAGAACCTCTGCCCAGCTCTGCTACGAACAGAGTTTAATACCCTAATTTAAACAATTAGTAAATTAATATGTTTGGCTCAGTGTCAGTATTTTTTTAGGCCATTTCAGATCAACTCCATACAGCTCATGTTCGGGTTACCCAAATTGGTTTTTCCCAGACATTGCCTCTTTTTGGGATTCTCCATCCTCTGTCTGGGTGGGTTGTTCAAAGAAGAGGCAGTGCCCGGGATTTTAGCCATGCAGAGAGAACAGTCTCTGTGCCCACTTTGTCCCTTCCCTGCTGCCCTCGCTGCCAGATCCCTCCCAATCGGATCCCAGCTCCCAGACCCTGCTGCTGTGTCCTGGGACTGTGCCAGCTGCCCTGCTGCCATAACCGTGAGCAACACTATCCCCACCTTGAGAGGCACCTTCTCCAAGCCCTGCCAATGTCCTCTTTTGGGACACCTGGATGTGGTAACCCAAGACCAACTTCACTTCTTGACTCGAACCAGAACAGAGGCAAAGTAGGAAAATATTTAGATTTAAAGAAAAAAAGGGAATAAATGAGGCAAGTAATGAAAAGAGTTCTTAACGTGCCATTATCAGCTCTGTTTTGTAGATTGTATGCATTGCTTTCTTCCTTCACGTACCCCCCTCCAAATCTGTTGTGACTTCACTTGCTGGTGTGTTTCCTGGTGCAAATTGAGTGACATGCAAGCGCAATCCAAAGGAAGCTTTTCTTTGGCTTTAAAAGTTGCATGAACAACAGAAATAAAAATGAGTTAAGTACCTTTTATCCCAAATGAGTATATTTGAAGGAAAAGCATGTGAAGAAAAATATTCTCTGTCTAGTGTACAAGAAAATATTGTTCTTCATGTGCTTTGCTTTGCTTTCTTCATGATCAGATTTCAGTGGCTGTTCCTGGTAAGTGTCTGCAGTATCAGACAGGAAGTGAAAACATGTTAAGAATGGAATGACTTACAAGACATATAAGGTGCTTCTGTGAAGGAACATAATTTGCATTGTCCTTTTGAAAGGATACATCAGATTTGAGGTACTTTGAGAATGCTAAAGGTTTTACCAACTTGGATTGGGAGAAATATCCCAGATTTTGCTGTAGGGTGGAAACCCATCATCAGCAAAATCTGCCCATGGGAATCTTCCTGATAAAGTTCTGACAAATCAAAATGCGCTAACATGGAATAACTTGTAAGAATGGAACAATCTGTTTTCTGTGGCAAAGGGAACTGAACATCAGACATCTCAGAATCCTAACATAAGAACGGCCAGACTGGGTCAGAGTAAAGGTCCATCCAGCCCAGTGTCCTGTCTGCCTGCAGTGGCCAGTGCCAGATGCCCCAGAGGGAGTGAACAGAACAGGGAATCATCAGCTGATCCCTCCCCTGTCACTCACCCCCAGACAAACAGAGGCTAGGGACACCATTCCTACCCATCCTGGCTAATAGCCACTGATGGACCTAACCTCCATGAATCTATCTAGCTCTTTTTTGAACCCTGTCAAAGTTCTAGCCTTCACCGCATCCTCTGGCAAGGAGTTCCACAGGTTGACTGTGGACTGAGTGAAGAAAAACTTCTTTTTGTTTGTTTTAAACCCGCTGCCTATTAATTCCATTTGGTGACCCCTAGTTCTTTTTTTGTGGGAATAAGTAAATAACTTTTCCTTATTCACTTTTTCCACACCAGTCATGATTGTATAGACCTCTATCATATCCCCTTTAGTCTCCTCTTTTCTAAACTGAAAAGTCCCAGTCTTTTAATCTCTCTTCATATAGCCTTTGCTGTAACTGCCTCTCGGCAGGATCGTTTGCTCTCCGTAAGTTCAGTTTGGGGGACAGAAGAAGGGAACCCACCTCCTTAGGACCTGGATGTCTGAGGTGAAGCTCTAAGGCCTCTCACATCCATTTCCAACCAATCTGTATTATGTTTTTTAATGTTGCAGGGGTTGAGGTTGCAAACTCTGCACAGCAAGCATGTGCACTGTGCTTTCCCAGCTCTACAGAAATCTAAACCCCTCATCATTTTCATTGCCCTTTTCTGAACCTTTTCCAATGCCAATAGATCTTTTTTGAGATGAGGTGACCACGTCTGTACGCAGTATTCAAGATGCGGGCTTAGCATGGTTTTATATAGAGGCAATAAGATATTTTCTGTCTTATTCTCTATCCCTTTTTAAATGACTCCTAACATTCTGTTTGCTGTTTTAACTGCTATAGCACACTGAGTGGACGTTTTCAGAGAACTATCCACAATGACTCCAAGATCTTTCTTGAGTAGTTGTAGCCAAATTAGTCCCCATCATATTGTATATATAGTTGGGATTATTTTTTCCAATGTGCATTACTTTACGTTTATCAACATTAAATTTCATTTGCCATTTTGTTGTCCAATCATTTAGTTTGGGGAAAACTTTTTGAAGCGCTTCACAGTCTGCTTTGGTCTTAACTATCTTGAGCAGTTTGGACTTCCGTCAGACATTCAGTTACTATTAAGGGTTAATTACATTCTTTTGAAAAGATGCTGCAGTCTCCGATTCCCTCCAGCCCCATTTTGTACAAACAAACATTACTAAAGCCAAAGGCCGACGGGCCATTCTGTAGAGCTGGGAAAGGACAGTGCACATGCTTGCTGTGCAGAGTTTGCAACCTCAACCCCTGCAACATTAAAAAACATAATACAGATTGGTTGGAAATGGATGTGAGAGGCCTTAGAGCTTCACCTCAGACATCCAGGTCCTAAGGAGGTGGGTTCCCTTCTTCTGTCCCCCAAACTGAACTTACGGAGAGCAAACGATCCTGCCGAGAGCCAGTTACAGCAAAGGCTTTGGAAACAAGAAGTAACTGTACCTTGTAAGGCCAATGAGGCATCCTGAGGCAGCCTGGAGGGACAGTGACAGCAGCAAGTCTCAACAGCAGGACTCAGGTATTCCCAGACTGCAGAGGAACTGACCAAGGTAGCTGAGCTTTATAAAGGGCCAGGCATTGTTCTCTCAGAGTGCTCAGTCTGATGCAATCAGGGAGTCATTGGCTGGATTTGAATACCTGGGCTGTTTCTTGCACAACCTAACCACGGTATCCTTTGATCTCAGCTCTGAAGTTCTGACTTAGTAAAAGTGCTATTCACGCCAATAGGCTTGGCTTTCCTAGGGATTTGTACAGCACCAGCATGCAAGCCTGTGTGCTGAGCACTTTTTAATGCAAGAGGCCAGTGGGGAAGATCTAGGTTGGATATTAGGAAAAACTATTTCACTAGGAGGGTGGGGAAGCACTGGGATGGGTTCCCTAGGGAGGTGGTGGAATCTTCATCCCTAGAGTTCTTGAGTCCCTGCTTGACAAATCCCTGGTTGGGTTGATTTAGTTGGGGTTGGTCCTGCTTTGGGCAGGGGGCTGGATTTGATGACCTCCTGAGGTCTCTTCCAGCCCTGGGAGACTATGAGTCTATGAAATTTGATGTTTTTAGACTAAGCCACTTTGTGGTGTCCTTAACTTGATTGCTCAGTATTCCACCATGTTTAAAAAAAATTCTCCAGCAAGGTTGTGTCCTCTCTGGGTTGTAATCCAGAGACAAAGTGACTATTCCATTGGCCACAGGTCTTGTGAGTCACTGATACTCCTAAACCAGCCGTTCCCAATGTGTACTCAGCCTTGTAGATAAGCAGTGGAATTCTATAGCCTGAGCATCATGATGTCCTTGGGTCAGGAGGTCTGGTCAGGAAGATATTTGTTTGCTAGGCTTCCCTTGAAGTACGCGTTTCCCCCTCCCCCCTGGCCCTGGCTAGAATTTTGCATTTCAGGATCCCCGGAGGAACCTTTTCTTCAGGGAGTGAACAAGCCACTGGCAGTGAGAAAACCCGAGAGTGGAGTTTCCTAAGGGGGGGGGAGAGTTGCTATTTCAGTCTGACAGAGATTGGCAGGCCCTGACACTGGTGCCTGGCTGTGTTGATGAGTCCATGGATTGGAAGTTGGGGATGAAGGGCCTGGTACTCGCCTCACTTTATGGGAGGGTAGGGGAGCCAGCATTGGGAGGGGGAGCACAGACGTGGGTAAGGGACACAGCATCCTCTCTGCATGACCTTCCTTTGCCTGGTATCCCAGGGAATTCTCCAGCAGTACCTGCGGAGGCTCGAGGTGAAGACTGGGGAAAGCCCTTGAAACTCGGCTCTCTGCTGGGCAGCCCCAAGGTCTCAGAGGTGCTGCAGGGTTTCCAGGCTGCAGACCCTACTTCCTTGGAGAGGACTTGTCTATTGCCCAGAAGTGACCTTTCTGACCTCTCTCCTGACTCAAGAACGCCAGTCCCC